GTCTGGGTGTTTTCTATGTATAGATAATATATATGTATTTACGAAAAAAATCTTTGTATTTATATCAGTACCCATAACATAATCTTCAGCTAGCTTAACTTGGGTCTAGATGAAACTGTATGAATTGTCCTGAGATTACTATTATTATTAATTGGTACACAGGTAAACTACTAACTAGGCCATATTGGTGTTGTTTGTTATGGTGAAAAAACTAGTAGGTATATATATAAGTTACACGTACAATTTCAAAGACTTATTTCTTGAAAACTACTGGCTATTCTGAAATAAAACTTTAGTGTTTGTATATGTAATGTTTGCATATAAAATATGATTAAAGGTTACCAGTGTATTTACACTTTTACTGAACAAACAGAGTTGTTTAATACTGAAAATATTGTGTGGAAGGCATCAATTACTTTCAGTGCATGTATAGCTTTTTCTCTTTTCCTAATTATTATTATTATTAAGTTTAAAGTGGTTGAATTTTACGTAAGGGGTTTTTATACATTATTTCTAATGTACCATTTATTTTAAGTTTTTTAAACTCTATTCATCGAGACCTATCTAATGAGTCCAAACACGATATTTCTGCTGTAAGTTTTCGAAGAGTATGTTCATCATCTGATAATACTGGTGCCAGCATGAAGTCAAGGTTAACAGATAACTAATTACTTTTATTTCGTCAAAATCTTTAGATTACGTATAATAAATTCATAATATCGCTACCTATTCAAATCAAAACAAGTATTAGGTACTTCATGTACTAGTATATAAATTCATCAACACACAAGTAAATGATTTTTAAATATATTCAGAGCCAAAAAATCTTTGTGCATTTAAAAAAAATGCCGATACGGATTCACTATTGCAGGAAATTGTTGAAAAAATATATATCGAGTATAGGTATCTACTACTATCGACGAATACATTTGGCAACAACGCATGGTCTCGGTCGGAACGGCAACATCGCATATTAGAATACAAAGATAGTGGTAGAACGCGGAACGGCAACATGTTGCCGTTCCGCCACGCTACCGTTATAGTGGTAGAAAGAGAGAGACAGTGGAATCAGCAATATCTACGGATCGTGGCTGGATCAACTAAGTGTGCAAATGTAAGTATATATATATATATATACTTACATTTGTCTTTAATTCAAAGGAAATATAAATAATGAACGCATCACATTTAAAACAGTAATAAGTACGTACGTAATATTATCACATGGTAACAGCACGTATTATGGCAAAAATAAACATCGGCTGATTTGAAAAGATTTATTATAGTAATAATAGTAATATGAGGACAATTCACACAGCTTCATCTTTTAGCTGAAGATTATGTTATGGGTACTAGACAACTGATATAAATACAAAGTTTTTTTTTTCGTAAATACATATATATTATCTATACATAGAAAACACCCAGACCGTTACAAACAATCATACTCATGAATACAAATGTTTGCAGCGTCCGAGGAATCGAACCCTCGACCACCAAGCAGGAATCAAAGCGGTGTGCTAGATAAATCGCTAGACTACCGACAACTAGCTGTACACGCGACTTCGTCCGCGTGGAATTTAACTTCTTATATTTTAGAAAAATAAAGTTAAATTCAACACGGACGAAATCCCGTGTACAGCTAGTCATCAATAAAAAAACACGTAGGTATCTCTAATATATTATACACTAGCTGTTCCCGCGACTTCGTCCACGTGGTTTTTAACTTTATTTTTCTAAAATAAAAGTAGCCTAAGTTACTCCTTATTACATCAGCTACCTACCAAAAAAAGTCCCGTCAAAATCGGTCCAGCCATTTCAGAGATTAGCCGGAACAAACAGACAGACAGACAAAAATTGTAAAATATGTTATTTTGGTGTATGTACCGTATTTATATTCATATGCAAGTAGTAAAAAACGGTTATTTCAATATTACAAACAACAGGCTTCAACATTCTCAAGTACCATAAAAAAGATGTTTTTATTAAAAACAAGGTGTTCCCGCGACTTCGTCCGCGTGGAATTTAACTTTATTTTTCTAAAATAAAAGTAACCTAAGTTACTCCTTATAAATCAGCTACCTGCCAAAAAAAGTACCGTCAAAATCGGTCCAGCCATTTCAGAGATTAGCCGGAACAAACAGACAGACAGACTAAAATTATAAAAATAGTTATTTTGGTATATGTACCTTATATATATTCATATGCATGTAGTAAAAAACGGTTTTTTCAATATTACAAACAGACACTCCAATTTTTATTAAATGTATAGATGTATAGATTATTATTTATTTATTTATTTATTCATCCAAAATAATACAAATTGTGTAGGATAACGTAATAGTAACATTACAGTAAAATTTTGTCAATAACATAATAGCAACTTAAACATTAAATCTCGGTATATCTATAGACTAGCTGGCCCCAGCGACTTCGTCCGCGTGAAATTTTATTTTATTTTTCTAAAATAACAGTAGCGTAAGTTACTCCTTATTACATCAGCTACTTGCCAAAAAAAAGTCCCGTCAAAATCGGTCCAGCTATTTCAGAGATTAGCCGGAACAAACAGACAGACAGACAGACTGTACTATGCTATACTATGTATTGATTGATATACCTAAAATAAATATAATATCTGAGGTTTGAACAAAAACTCAAAGGGTAATTTATTTTGAAAAAGTATTTTGAAAATACCTATTTTGCTTTTAGTGTTATAGTACTTTAACTGTTATGTTTTAAGTAACAATGTTTAATTATAATTAATACTACTGCACCAACACTCCGATCGTGCAAAAAAATTTGCTGTTTCATTATTTTTTAGTTCAATTAGTGGTCTACCTAAGTTCTGGGCTAAGGGGGGGGGAGAGTCATGACGCCCCCATGACTCCCATGACCTCCATGACGCTCCCACCTGGATCCGCCGTTGCGTCTTCTCTTTATTCGCTCAGTAACGTTGTTACAAAAGAAAAGATTCCCATCCAAAAAATAACAAGTATTGAGGTTTGATCTGGAGTCACGTTACTCCAGACTGATTTCTATAAATATTTAGATTAGGTAGACTATTATTTTTGAAATACTAGCTAGACATTATTAAGTTACTGTAGCCATAATGTAGTAGCCCAAACGTGCCAATGAGGAAGCCCTTGGCAAATGCTGCACCCTGATTGGCCCGTTTGAATTGGATCAAGAACTGCTCGTATGCCAAAAAGGTGGATTTGTATAAAATCGTGTATAAATCGCTTAATTATTATTATTACTCGTCGTGACAGTTGTGGCTCAAAACGGATCAACATTTATATATATATATATATACAAGTGAAAAAGGATCAACAAAAAACTACCTATACGGCACGTCTGAGCCACAAAGTGCCCAAGGGGATATTTATATATATATATATATATATATATATGAATAGACAAACAATACATAAATTCAAATTCTAGTGTTACGTAACAAATAATATTTTTATGATCTAACACGAAGAAACTAATAAAAATATTGGGTTGGTTACATTATTATTTATATATGCATATTATTAAATTTAGTGGCGTCATGCAGACCTTAGGCGTGTAAGTAATAGCTTTATATACACATAATGATATATTTAAAAAAAGCTTGCGTAAACAGAAGAAAGCACAAATTACCTAACAATGGATTGTTAGATTGTTAGGTTACAGAACAGGTGAGATTAAACTGTAATAGCTGCCAGTGAAAGCTGTAGGCAAATGATAAACCTAGGCGCAGTTGTTTCGTGAAATTAGAAACTACTTTAGATTTTTTTGTGGATGATAATTGACTGTTGCACCGTCCTGCGTTAAAGGTTTACGCTAGCACCAGTGGAGGATGATATGATGAGCATGAGGTCAGGTCAGTTAGCACATCGTGACAAAATCATCAGGTTATCACGATGGTTTCCAGGGGGAACCGCGTGGTGGTAAACCTGACATGGTACATTGCTAGCAATAAGATCATCGGTCCACATTAATAACAATCCCCTTTCCTCTACTAGTGTAGGTTTTTTTTGTGGATGATAATGGAATGGTAATTTGTGGTTTACGCTGGCGGGGCATCAGTGGAGGATGATAAGATGAGCATGAGGTCAGGTTAGTTAGCCCATCTGGTGAAACTGTCATCACCAAAAATTTATCACGATGATTCCCATGGGAATCGCGTAGTGGTAAACCTGACATGGTACATTGCTAGCAACTGTAGGTATCCCCCACTACTGTAGGTTTTTTTTATGGATGATAATGGAATGTTGCACCTGCCTGCGCTAACGGTTTACGCTGGCAGGCCACCAACGTAGGATGATATGAGCATGAGGTCAGGTCAGTTGGCACAACGTGACAAATTCACCACGTTATCACGATGGCTTCCAGGAAGAATCACGTGGGGGTAAACTTGACATTTCACTTGACAGTCCACATTACTGACAAGCCTTATCCTTAAGCCTAAGCCTTACTACTGTAGGTTTTTTTTTAAAGGATGATAAGATGAGCATGAGGTCAGGTCAGTTGGCACAACGTGACAAATTCACCAGGAATATATCACGATGGTTTCCAGGGGGAACCGCGTGAAGGTCGACCTGACTTGGTACATTGCTGGCAATAAGATCATCAGTCCACATTACTAACAATCTTTATCCCCCCACTACTGTAGGTTAGGTTCTCTCTTACCTAGATATTGTTACTAATATCAAAGTTAATAACTTCTATTAACATCACGCCAGGTCTAGTACGGGGTAAGCAGATGTTATATTTTAACCTATAACTCTATATTCTTGACTCGTACATTACTATATTACCGTATATTACTATCTACATTTTTTTGATCTGTGGTCGTTCTAATAGTACCTGACATGATGAATTTGCACGATGTGCTAACTGACCTGACCTCATGTTCATCTTATCATCCTCCACTGGTGCCCCGCCAGCGTAAACCGTTAGCGCAGGCGGGTGCTCCATTCCATTATCAACCCTCAAAAAAAAAAAATTAGTACCTGACGATAGTGCGCAGTAGTGTGGACCTGGCTTCGTTGTGGAAGGTAATGATGACGCTCGTCTGCGGAAGATCCTCGTCGTATTTCTTCAGCCGACACCTGAAACATGCGTAATATGTAGCAAAACTGTTGTAGGTACCCCGAAAATTGTAATTGTTTTAAGACTTTTGCGCGGACTGATGAAATTTCGCATTTATAGTTAAAAATATAGCCTATTTGTTATTCTGATGCATAAGCTATATTACTGTAAAGTTTCATAAAAATCAGTTCAGTAGTTTTTGCGTGAAAGAGTAACAACCATCCATACTTACAAACTTTCGCATTTATAATATTAATAATAAGATTGAGATATATTAATATATAGATAAGGAGTATGGGCATCACGCTTTCATATCTGAAATAATAATAGTGTAATAACCCTGTACAATTTACACAGAATCATCTAGTCCCAAGATAAGCTGATCTTGTGTTATGGATACTACACAATTGACATAAATACATAAATATATATTTTTGTAAACACATAAAAACTCCCAGACATTTTTGTTAACAAACAATCATACTCATGAATACAGAGGTTTGTACCGTGCGAGGAATCGAACACGCGACCATCGGAATTATAGCTGTGCGATAAACTGCTACACCCACTAATCAAATTAGTGATACTGGTGTACACACGCATACGAATGTTTTACAGTATTCTTCGAGTTAAAAAATGTTATTACATCGTGTATGTATCGAACCTAAGCGTTATAATGCGAGGTAGCTAAACCACTGTACCACCAAGGTTGTTAATAAACATTTCAAAATAGCAATATATTTTGAAAGTTAACAAGCGATTGATGACTGCACTGCACCCATCTCCTTGAAAGTTCAAAGATAACATACGAAATAAAATAACATAATAATCTCGAGTTTGTTTCAATTACTATATCACTAGTTACAACCCGTGGTGTTGCTCGACTTTGCCATGCTTTTAAATAAAGTAGATACTACATTATTATCATTTTGTTCCTTCATACATCAAAATCATTATTAAAATGATGTCGCTGTCGCTGTCTGTCTCTATGTATGCTTAAATCTTTAAAACTACGCATCGGTTTTTATTCGGTTACTTTTAACAGATAGAGTGTATCCAGAGGTAGGTTTATATATATAATACATGTATAACCGTGCCAAGCCGGGTCGAGAAGCTAGTCTTATATATAAAATTCTCGTGTCACAATGTTAGTCACCATACTCGTCCGAAACGGCTTGACCGATTGTTATGAAATTTTGCATAATGCATAATGCATATTCAGTGCATCGAGATAGAACCAGCTACTATTTATTTTCCATAACCTTAAGTGATGAGGGTTGTCCAACCCTAACAGTATTTTAATTTTAGTTTTTTATAATGTGCCAATAAAAATACGTACAATACACAATTTACACATTTCTATCACCAACCCTATATTTTTTAATAGCGATTTTTATTTATATGGTAAAAAACGTTTTTTTTTCTAGTACAGGGGACAAACGTGTATGCGGCTCACCTGATGGTAAGTGATTACCGCCGCCCATGAGCACCCGCAACACCAGGGGAACTGCAAGTACGTTGTCGGCCTTTTGAAAAGGAATAAGCTCTTTTCTTGAAGGTTTCAATATCGTATCGGTATAACATCATCGGGGTCAGATAGTAATAATATAATTGTATTTATTAAAATCCACTTCTGGTTCACTACAGTATAAGGCAGGTGTTTGACCGTTGAGGTGAAATGTACGCAACAGATGGGCGTGTGGCATGTTCTCGAGGCGTGTGTGACCTGCCTTGGGCTTGTTAGCGAGTCCGTGGGCAGAGGTCAGATGCCAATGACAAATTAATGACCGGTCGCAATAATTGTGGGATTGTACAATTTACGCCATTATCAGGAAATAATATTATCTGTCTAAAAAGACTCCAGCTGTTCCCCAGTTTCAACACACTCTTCTTGATATAAAGCCAAATCTCTAGATCCTTGGCGTTGATCCAGTGACGTTTTACGGTCATTTGGAAGATAAAGCTAAAACAGCTTCCAGACAGTTAGATGTGTTCAGTAGAGTGGGAAGGTATTTCACTGAAGTCTATACGGTTTACCAACATTTGTTGTTGTTCACTCTATTGCTCCAAATTTGGATTTAAAAATATTCATTTTTAGGCTTAAAATATTAAAAATAGGCTTTTTTAATTGATAGAGTGAAACAAGAGGAAGGTTGAATCACACTATCAATATATCAGCCCGGGCGAGTAGCTAGTAAAAAATATAACACTGCGATACTGTACTCACATCTCGTACATATATATTATAGGAGTAATTAAAATCATTATGACGTTGGATATAAAGTGTTACATCCACAACTTGCATGAAAGATTTATGGCCCATAAAACCGTTTATTGATGCCCATAGAGCAATGTTTATATAGAGTCAACAAATACCATAAACTACTAAGTAGCTATTAGATGTTTTAACTTTGTAACAAGTAAGTTGATATAGAGATGATGAGACAGTCATTTCAATCTGGATGTAAGAATATTATGTAAAGATTTTTAAAAGGTAAGGTACAAATGGCTCACTGATGGTAAGTGATTACCACTGCCCATGAGCACCCGCAACACCAGGGGCCAAGTGAGTGGCCGACCTTTTAAGAAGGAACTTTTTTCTTGAAGATTTCAAAATCGGATCAGATATACCATTACTGGATTCCACAATGTGGGCGTAGCACAAAGTTTCTAGAAGAAACGAACGGTGGAGGACCTTGAAAAATCTGTCAAGCCGTTTCGGGGAAGGATGGTAACTAACATTTGACATGTGAATTTTATATACAAGATAGAAAATTAATTCAAATAAATTTACAACGAAGTATTTTTGTAAATAGTAATCACATTTTATCTAATCTTCATTCATTCGGGAAGCTGTCTCATCACAAGAAGAACAAGCAAGAAACTTAAGTGTTGCTCTTTTAAATATTCGTTGTAATTTACATTTTTAAGTTGAAATGTTTGAATGCAAAGTACCAACTAGCACTAATTCATTACAGTCAAAATATTAAACATTATTACTTACATGGCATTTCTGGTGTCAGGTATAGCTCTGTTGCTGTGCAGTGTGTCGGACGCAGCCTGATTGAACCTGTTCCTCACGTACGGATCCGCGTCCTTCGCTCCCCCCGCCACATAGCCCCCCTCGTCGAAGTACGTCCGGCCCGTACTGCCCGTCCCATACGCATCTTCTGGAGACGCTGGACTGCTTTCTACTTCTTCTTCTGGATGCTGCTTGATAAGTCGGAGCGCTATGTTTTCTTCCTGTAACAATTAAAACATAATGTTAATATTATTTTGACGAACTCCGCAGTTTAGCTGTTTAGCACATGGCCTTACTACTGTGGGTCGTTAGTACTATTTCCCACATGGTGCAAACATTTGCATTAATTATTTGTATTGGTTTTATTTTCGGACTACTCTAATGCTGTTGTCCGCAGCTGACCTTTACAGCTTCACCAGATGATAGGGGGCGAGTACAGATGACACTCCAAACCAAAGGAAGGACATATGCTAACTCCCGCCTGTCGGATACCATTTTAGTCTGACGGCACCGCTAGGGGTTCGAACCTCGGCTCAAGCCGTCGTAATATCTCATATTTGAGAATATGGTTTGAATAATATAGTCCAATTTGAGATTTAACGACCTTGTTATTTGAAAATGCCTGACATAAAAATGGATAACAATAAATATTTATGACTAATTGTCTGGTGATGGAAACACTGAATGAAAAGAAAGAAAGGATTATTATCGTCAAGAGGTGTTCGTCTTCTTCTCTTTTGCACTATCCCACTGTATGTGAGGTGCGGCTATTTATGACTAATTATCTGGTGATGAAAACACTGAAAGAAAAGAAACATATGTAATTATTATCATCAAGAGGTTTTCGTGTTCTTCTCTTTTGCACTATCCCACGGTACTAGGTCAATCTATCCTAGATTGTCGGGTCGTGAATTCTTTTCGTCTCGACTACTATACTCATGCTTGTCCACCAGGTAGCGAGAGGATGATCTCTACCTCTGTTATGTTCGGGCAGTCAAGAATGTTGTAAGTATTGTTATTATTAAATAATTTACAGGAGTTCGAAGGTACGCATGCTGTATTTCTTTCGGCATCAGGTGCTACAACAGCTTATTTGATATTTCATATTTTGCTATTTAATTAATTATTGTTAACTTTAAGTATTTTATTTTGGAGATATTGTAAAACTTTTGATGCCGTTATTTTGTAGTTAGGATCGTGGAAAATATTTATTTTGCTTATATCTAAATATATATAACTCAAAGGTGACTGACATAGTGATCTATCAATGCACAGCCCAAAGCACTGGACGGATTGGACTGAAATTTGACATGCAGGTAGATGTTATGACGTAGGCATCCGCTAAGAAAGGATTTTGATTAATTCTACCCCCAAGGGGATAAAATAGGGGATGAAAGTTTGTATGAAACTGTCAATTTTAAACCGATCGGGCTGAGACTTTGCATGCATAAAGATACTATGACGTAGGCATCACCTAAGAAAGGATTTTGATAAATTCCATCCCTAAGGGATAAATTAACGCGAGCGAAGTCTATTTTATATCTATTTTAAGCTAACTGTTGCTTATCCACATATTTGAAAATGTTACTAGTAGTGTTGGTTTTCCAAATAAAGTAATTGCATATATTGCCATAAGATAAAAAACTATATGCATTCATAAAATCGATTTGCTGCGAACAATGATCGAATTGATTTCTCGACACCATCAATTACTGTAAAACTAGAAAAACTAAAATCATACACAACAATAGCAAGCAAAAAGAATGTAACGAATCGCTAGCAAGTTATATTGCAGCGGACCGGTGACCACAAACATACCATAACATTGGTTAAGCCAATAAGTTTCGAATCTAACGAACCGAAGTAAATGTACTTAAACTTACTGTAAAATTGAATTTGAATCTAAAAGTGTCGGATGCAAGATTGAATACTGCTTGGCATGGAGATAGGAATAATAAACCATGATGCAAGGTGCTATAATCGCAATAAGGGAAATTACATTTTGCCGTATATCCTATAGATTTACTGCAACCTACCTATTTATACTTACCTACACGGACCTACGAGTAATGGAGATAGAATGAAATTAAATGCATTTATTTGATTGGAATATGGTGTAAATACCAAATCTATGTCAGTATTTCATTCATATATGCTATTAATTAATAATCTCTGACGAAAAGTATTAGTAAAGTTACAACATATGACTAATTTAGGCACATCAAAAATATGTAGATTTTGCCAAACTGAAGAGGAAACGCCACTACACATTCTATGCGGTTGTAGCCCACTCATGCATAAACGTAATATCTTCTTTGGAAAGTTTACACTCTATCCTAAGGTGATAAAAAATAGGAGATAAGAATATCCTTCAATTCTTGTCCCTGACGGGTAGCGAACTCTGAAAAAGGGCGTACAGAATGAATTTGTATAGGTCGCAGTGCTACAGGTCCAAGCACCTGACAATAGCCCAAACCCCCAATATTCTTTTCATGGTGAACTCTATTATTATCATCCCTACATAGTTCTAATGAAACTATTACCGTGTCCGCATGGTGAAACCGTATCCCACTCCTAACCCTTGTTTACTTTCTATGCTATTAAAAATATAATATCAAAAAGTAGAATCATCTAAGAAAATCCTGTTATTATTAAGTCTTATGATATCATTAAATTGACGACACAAAATTATGTCTCAAAACTTTTATGCGTATTAAATTGCAAAACACTTGACAAAGTAACGAAACTTAATTTCCTTATTAACATAATTTCAACTTAAATTTGTGAATAATTCAATTTGACGTGTCAAGGCTGAAATGTGGTCAAACACACTTCGACGGCGATGGTCCAGTGTAATTACCATAAATGTTTCTGGTATTGCCCATAAATAGTCTGCTGCTTATATTTTTCTACTAATGCGATGACGTAACTGTTACCACAGATATACCAGCCAAATTAAATTATCTTTCGTCTAATTATTGCTTTCATAAATATTAGCAACTACTGTTCCCGCGACTTCGTCCGCGTGGAGTTTAACTTTATTTTCTAAAATAAAAATAGCCTATGTTACTCCTTACTACATTTGCTACTTGCCAAAAATAGTCCTGTCAATATCGGACCAGCCATTTCAGAGATTAGCCGGAACAAACAGACAGGTAGACCGACAAAAATTGTAAGAATGTTATGTTGATGTATGTACCGTATTTATATTCATAGGCATGTAATAAAAAACGGTTACTTAAATATTACAAACAGACACTCCAATTTCATTTATATGTACAGATTTAAGATTCTATTCCTGTAATACATTCACAATGATTTTGTTCAATATCTTCCTTCCTTCCTCGCGTTGTACTTGGAATCGGTATGATTTGTTATACTTCCAACAATTCAAATTCAAATTCAAAAATCATTTATTCATGTAGGACATTTTAGCCGCTTATGAACGTCAAATATTTTACATTACAATTTTAATTTTTTCCCTACCGTCCAGTTTATTATGTTGATACAATTTGAGTGTAGTTATAGTCTCTGTTTCTTAATATTATTCTTCTCTTGCCCATTCTTCTCTATTACTAGATGTAATAGAGAAGAATAGGCATCAAACAAATCTAACATATCAATAAAATTGGAGTGTCTGTTTGTAATATTGAAATAACCGTTTTTTACTACATGTATATGAATATAAATACGGTACATACAACAAAATAACATTTTTTACAAGTTTTGTCTGTCTGTCTCTTTGTTCCGGCTAATCTCTGAAATAGCTGGTCCGATATTGACGGGACAATTTTTGGCAGATAGCTGATGTAATAAGGAGTAACGTAGGCTACTGTTATTTTAGAAAAATAGAGTTAAATACCACGCGGATGAAGTCGCGTGTACAGCTAGCCTGTAATAAAGTGCATGACGCTCCAAAACTATTTAAAGTTAAGTTCATTTGAATAAAGACAATTTCTGTTCCCTCTTACACCCAGTCTATTTTAGGATAATTCTCAAATTTTGTTTTATAACCATCCGCATTCATGTTTCATAGGTTATGACCACTGTGGGCGATAAAGGAAACCAGGGAGTTGTAGGATATATATATATATATATATATATATTGTATATATTAATATTATAAAGAAACACTACTAACTAGGGCCAGGAAGGGAAACCGAAAAGGAACAATAGATAGTAGTGACAATTTAGAATATAATTTTGGAAAATTATTCGAAATATAAAGCATATAAAATAGTTATAAACAAATAAGTGGCCTGTATTCCACACCCACAAAGGCACTTTTTAACTTATCCGATACTCATAATACTTTCAGACAGACAAATTCATCTAGTACAACAAAACCGAGTTCAAACATCTTAAAATTAATGATAAATTCTACATCTTGCAGAAAGTTTTGTTTAATGTATTTATTTACACAGAATTTAATACAAATCAATATAGAATCATCAAGCCGCAATACTTTTTAGCAAATTGTTTTTCAGATTTGGCGAAAAACCAATAATTGGGTAAGATATATTGTGAGCTTCTTAGTAATCCGGTAAAATATATAGTGAGATGTTATTTCTTTTTAAAGTTCATTGATATATTTAGAAGTGTAGAGGAATGTGGTTCAGTCCATAAACAGGTAAGGCCTTATACAGCTGATGGTGTAACTAGTGTAATTTGTGGTAAGGAAGGGGCAATTGGCAGCCAACGTTCTGAGGGTCGAATTTTTTTTTTTTTAAAAAAGGATGGGAAAAAAAAAAAGCGTTCGACAAAAAGGAACTGTGATATATCTTTTCGTCAATAATTAAACAAAACCTGGACTATAACAAATAGTGAACTTTGATCGTTAAAATAAGATTTCAATAATTGTATATGCAGAAGAATTCATAATGTGTATTGTTACATATGAAGAATTGCGACTTTGAAGTGGCAATGGGCAGGGCATATAGCTGGTCTAGATCGCGGGAAGACATTGGATGCGAGCAGCGCAGGACCGATCGTCGTGGAGATCTGGGGGGAGGCCTATGTCCAGCAAAGTGGACGTCTTCGGCTGGAGTTGCACAAAAGTGGATGAATAAATATTATGATTAAAGTAAATTAAAAAAGGCACGGACGAATATATCTGTGGAAAAATGTATTTAAATATAAAAAAAAAAAAAAATTAAAAGAACTACATAAAAAGTTGAACATTTACAACTAGATGGGCTATCAATTTATTTTTCCAGACACA